GGAATGTGAAGTGGAGGTGGGAAGTGTGGTTTTCACATGTAGCAGCTTAAGTGAAAAGTCCCCATCTCAGTCTTGATGCTAAAATCAGCAAATGTTCAGGGAGACAATTTGAATGTCCGTGTGGGAATGTGGGTGTTGTTTGGACTGACAATGCAGAAACTATATACAAAATGTGGATCATATTTAATGGTAACGCAGTTTTAAAAAAGTCTTAATTTCCCATATAAATGCACAGATGCAATGTAAAACCTTTGACTTCCACAGTGCAATGTACAGGAAGGTGTTTTAGGGTAAGCATATAGAGGCCAGTCTAATAAAAGGAAGATCTTAATAAGATTCCAGATTTAAAAATGAAAAAGGCTGCAAATGGTTAAGTCACGATTTTTTTCAGTCTTCTCTCTCATCCCATTTTGCATGTTTTTTGTCACGTTATGAAGTTATTATTAGAACAAGAGAACAAGACTTCCAAAGTAGTGAAGTGAAACGGCGTCACAGCTCCAAGGTTGGGAGGCTCAGAGCAGCCTATGAGCAGAATCAGGATCTTTCTAGTACTTGCACAGGAGGGGAGCAGCAAGTAGTAAAGATTAAAGCTGGATCTGGATGTGCAGATGCTGAGTGTCACTGCACCCAATTGCAACTCATTATCACATATAACTCTCAACATTAATTTTGTCATCTCCCTGCAGGCAGTAATTAGAGTGGACTGTCGTGAAGAATGGGGAGATCTCATTTGGGTCTGGAAGTGATCACAGCATTGGTCACAACATTAATTGGCTGACTGTGAAGCAGTGCTGTTTTAATTGACAAACAGGGGTCACAGTATAAAATCCTGACAGAGCCTTGAAAGCCTCCCATGCTTTTCAAGAGGTCGTATCACAAGAAATGGGGCTGTAATGTCTGTAGAACTGAGAGCCATTTGTGCGCATTTCACACTGGGAGTCCATCTCCTGTGTTCATTTGTCAGCTTCTGATTTTTGAATTCTTTGGTCTTGTCATCCTGTCATTTGAAAGTGGGGAGACCACACCTGTTTCTACTGTCTTGTCAAGCTGGATCCATGCCTGGCTAGCTTCTACATAAGGTGGTATGGGGACACAGTTTTCCTGTGCTAGCAAAGTCAGACCATCCCAGCTTGGTATCCGCTTTGCTTCTGCAGTTAGCGTCAAAACCACTTTGCTGTTCTCTCATCTGGGTTGTGTTGATGACTTACAGTAACGACATCATCCAAGACCTCTAAGAGGCCACTTCAGATCCTTCCTAAGCAATATCCATGTTGTCTTTCAGTCTTGGGAAACACTGGCCAGGCTTCCCACAAGTGCCAAAGCCCTTCAGCTTCCAGTATAGTCAGTGTGAGCTGCAGGTGCTTTTCACTTACAATAAGGCCACCTTTCCCAAGAT